AGTAAACTCTTTTGAATCTAATTTAGATGATTCTATCAGAAATGATGCGCTCCTAAGCAGGAGACAACCTCACAATACAATAGAGCCCCCCCCCCCCCCCCCCCGCAAGCAACTCAAAATAAAGTCAAGCCCCACATGTAACAGATGATGCTCAATGTTTCCTTTTTATTCTTTTAAACATTTTATAATCAGGAGGGAGCTAGCCGTGCATATATTTTGTTACAGATACCAACTTAATTATTTCTTACTTTAAAATATTTATTAAGTTTTTCTAAAACACAACTGTACTTATTCTCATATAAAAATGTAGCTTACTACATTTTTACTAGAGGCTTTACTATTACTGTATTTAGGATCCAAAATTATCTTGCTCTACCACTGCTACATTTCCTCTTAAAATCCTGGACTTCTCTTTGCAGGATGCAGTCCAAGCTAGCAAAATTAATACATCCAAAGAGAATTTTTTTTTCATTGCTCTTTCAAGCAATATCAGGGCCTGGTAGAGTTGGGCCATTACCTGGACCACTAGGATGGTTAAAGAATCCCCCAAGCCAATACTCTGTATGGCGATTTTTCCACCATCTCCGTAGCAACGGGAGGACTAATACAGGATAGTATGTATTAAAAACTGCTAAAGAAAATCAAGCATCAACCAAAGCAGTTAATTGTGCGTTTTCATTGTCAAAACAATAGATTGCTGGCTTGGAGGATGTTAACACAGTTGTCATGACAGCCTAGAATAGTCTTCCTCAACAGGCTAGGAACAAAGGATGGTTGTCCCCAAGAAATTCCAAGTTGGGAAATGTTGATATAAAGTCATCTGCCTTTCTGCGACATCAGCTTACCTCCCCTATTATATGCTTTCCTTTAATGAATGCTTCAAATCCACATACAGCAGCTGTATCATCCAAGGGGAAGACATATTTTGCTTCAATGGGACTTTCTGTTTCATTTTCATAGGTCTGAAACACCACAACCTGAAATACAATGCAATCTATTTTATGAATTAGTTCGGATAACATGGAAGTTTCCAATAAAAAGATTCTCACGGATGTAGCTTCCATACTAGGATTAACACTTTCAGCATAACTAAACACAGCCCAAAGAAAGAGAATACAGAAAAACAATAAATCAGCCAGTTGTGGCAGAAAAGTATACTTCAGTTGGATATTATATGAAGGCTGATTCCTTGATATCCTCTCCCCGCCCCCCATTCCTGCTCTAGGGTCAAAATTTTTGATTTCTGTTCTCATTTTTGGATTTTACACTGAATTAAAAATGTGGTAGTAAAAGAGTTTTGAAGAATTAAAATTACAATTTTTGAAGAATTAAGAATACAATTTTGAACAATTTTGAGGCACTTCTAGGAAAAACCAAAAGCATTTACCTCTGCTACTAAGTCTATTATTCTTCCTTTGATTTGAATATCTTTAAGAGGAATTGGATTCCCAGCTCTGTCTAGTAGGCCAGCAGAAATATCATTCAATAGATCATGGCTCGGTACTGTATAATCTAAATGAGACAAGTTAAAAATACACACATATTGTAATCAGAATCTCAAGCTAGTGGTCTCTTTAGACAACATTCTCCCTGCTTTTCCTGGGCATTTTATTTTATTTTCCCTGAAAAGTTGCCTCCTTCAACTGTCCTTTCTTCTCCCCTAATTCATCACCTCCCAATTCCCCTTGTCTTCCTTTCTCCCAAGGACCTTGTCATTTAAGTGTGTGTGTGTGTGTGTGTGTGTGTGTGTGTGTGTGATGAAATGTG